GGTCCCATCTACACTGCTATATAATGCAGTTTGAGAGTACATTAAATGGTCAGTATAGACTCCTATTGTGCAGTTTATTTGAACTGGACGACATTATATGAGTCTACAGTGACCATGCAATGCAGTCTTAAGATGCATTATTTGGCAGTATAGATAGAGCTTATCTTCCACCCCTAAGCAGCAGTGAAACGAAAGATAGTACAAATAGAAATGAAAGATAGTACAAATGGAAATGAAACCTACATGTGATTTCACCAAGAAAAAGGAGAAAGTTAAAGTTTAGCCATTCTTCCTCTGGAGAAGGCAGAGAGAATGGGGACAGAAAGCATGAAAGGTTGCGTGATTTTAAAACGTTTTAAAGTCTCAGTGTGGGTATGTCTATACCAGTTTCTCAAACTGTGCTCCTCCAAATGTTTTGGACTTCAGCTCCCACAATTCCTAACAGCTGGTAAGCTAGCTGGGACTTTTTGTAGCTGAAGTCCAAAACACCTGGAGGAGCACAGTTTGAAAAACACTGAACTATACTATAGAATTAATCCTGTCTGACATTACCATTGGCTCAATGCTATGAAATCCTGGAATTTGTAGTTTAATGAATAATCAGTACTCTTTGTCAGAGAAGGCTGAAGGCCTTGTAAAAGTACAATTTCCAAAGTTCCATACATTAAACCATGGCAGTTAAAGTGGTGTCAAACTACATTGATTATACACAGTAGAAGCACTCTATGTCTTCCACTGATTGCTGTTAGCTTCCATCAAAAGTGACTAGCATGCTGGTCTTACGCTTGACTCTTCAAAAGCTGAATGTTCGGTGTTACTCATCTCATTCCTTAATCTTTTTTTCTTATTTACTAACCCACAAAAAATCTTTGATGAAGTTTGTCTAAAAGAAGGTCACTAGAAGACATATGTGTGCCTATGGATTGTTGCCTTGCTGCAGAAAATCAGGAACTGGTGTCCCATCATTTTTTTATTAACAGAGTCAGCAGGTGTGGTAGTTTGGCTATTGGAGTAGAAGTTTGGAAGATCAGGATTCACTTAGGCCCCATCTACACTGTCATATAAAACCCAAATTATCCACGTTGAATTGGATTATATGACAGTGTGGACTCATATAGTCTACTTCAAAGCAGATAATCTGGGTTAAGAAAAATCCATGACTGGTTCACAATAAATTGGAAATGACTTGAAGACACAAGTCTGGAAGACTTGAAGACTCTTCTTAAGAGTCTTAAGAAGCATTTGTGTGAGACATAGTACATGTTGATTTTGCTGCTCTGTGGGCTACAAAATCAGGATAGTAACCCACTTCCATCTCAAATGAGGGAATAAAAACAATGCCACACTGGAGTTAGAAACATTCTATATTATGATTCCCAAATCAGTCTTCCAGGTATTTTGGACTTCAGCTCCCAGAAGCCTCAGCTGCTTTGGCCAATGATCAGGAATTCTGGGAGCTGAAATTCAAAATACTTGAAATAATTGAATGTTTGCCTTTTTGTGTGTAAACTGCCTGAGTCCCCTCAGGGAGATAGGACGGTCTATAAAGAAAGTTTTATTATTATATTGAAAGACCGAAGTTTGTGAAACACTGCTCTTTGTTTTTAATGAAATTGAAAGGAGTATCTGCATATTTCAATGTTAGGCTTTAAATGTCTATGTAAAGGTAAAGATAAAGGTTTCCCCTGACATTAAGTCTAGTCCTGTCAGACTCCGGGAGATGGTACTCATCTCCATTTCTAAGCCTAAAAGCAGGCATTGTCCATAGACACCTTCAAGTTCATGAGGCCAGCATGACTGCATGGCACACCGTTCCAAATGTGAGTAGGTCAGTAGGTATCACTTCTGCGGGAAGGTAACGCCGTTACCTTCCCGCAGAAGTGATACCTACTGACCTACTCACATTTGCGCATTTTAATCTAAAGAATATTGGAATAAAACAAAATGTTGTGATCAGCTTTTCTAATTAACCATTTTACTGAAACCAAGCAAATTTTAAAAAGTAAATATGATAAACACTTATTTGAATATTAGCTTGATATATCACAATTAAAACCACAATCCTTAGTAAAGTTTTTAAAAGAAGTATCATTGAACTGAGTAGGACTTCTGATACACGTGACTCATGTGCATGACAACATTCCAGTTCTTAATATACCTACTTGGTAAGGAAGCTTCATTAGTGGTATGAATATACTTTGGTGTCCTTATCGAGATACGGAGTATTACTAGAGTTTGGATATTATGTACACTTGGCCCTCCACATTTGCAAGTTTGACTTTTGCAGACTTGATTAAAATGTTTTTTTCTAGGAATTTTTAGGTCTTCTAGTCAGACTCAGTGTGGAAATTGACCACTGAGTCATGTTGGAGGACCTAGAAATTCCTAGATATGTGTTCTCACAGGTTTAAAAAGATTTAATTCAAGGGTTTTTCGCTTTCATAGGGGTCTTGTGGCCGATTATCAGTGAATATGGAGGGATGGCTACCATAGCTGAGACTTTTTTTGTGTGAGAAAGGCACTATATTGTTAACTTAATGAATGTCAAATTTCCTACTTTTAGGTTGTTTGTTTGTTTTTTGTCGTGTCAGGAGCAACCGCTCCTGTTGTGAGAGAATTGGCCGTCTGCAAGGACGTTGCCCAGGGGACGCCTGGATGATTTTGATGTTTTATCATCCTTGTGGGAGGCTTCTCTCATGTCCCTGCATGAGGAGCTGGAGCTAATAGAGGGAGCTCATCCGCCTCTCCCCGGATTCGAACCTGCGACCTGTCGGTCTTCAGTCCTGCTGGCATAGTGCTTTAACCCACTGCGCCACCGGGGACTCCTAACTTTTAGGTTCTTACTTTTAGGTTCTCACTAACATTTTATGTTACTTTTCAAGGGCATTTTAGAGACATTTTGAGCTCATTTTTGAAAAGTATTGCTCTATTATCAACATTAAGGCCTCTTAAAAAGATAATAAAAAACTGACATGTAATTAAGCCTTTGGCAATGTTTATTTAGGGGTTTTTGAGATGAGTTACATAATAGATTACTTTGTGAAAGTAACTTTCCAAGCTTTTAATGGTGGGAAAAGATGTTTGTTTGATAGCTTTGTAAGTGGTGGACTGTAACCTGGCCCTCTGTTTAAAAAGTTTGAGGACCCCTGATCAAGGTTTTTAAAGTGGATGGGTGCTGGGAATGTTTTGATTGTGTTTTCCTGTATGTTAGAGAGTTTTATTGGATGGCCCTTGTAGTCTCTTTCTAGACCATATAAGAATCTTGTACCAATTTTCAACCACGAGTCCCCAATATTCTGAAGCAAAGGAAAAAAAACAAAGGAAATCGAGAAGGTGAAAACACAGCATTGTACATTGTTTTTAGCTGAGAATGTCACTCCTAGTTGTTGTTTTGTGCCTCATGGTGACCCTAAGGCAAAATATCACGTGGTTTTCTTGGCAAGATTTGTTCAAGAAAGGATTGCCATTGCCTTTTTCTGAGGCTGAGAGAGTGTGACTTGCCCAGCATGGGTTTCCCAGCAGACTGGTGATTGAACTCCAGATTGTAGTTCAACACTCCGACCAGGGAGGCCCCTTCCACACAGCTGTATAAAAGCCACATTCAACTGGATTATATGACAGTGTGGACTCAGATAAACCTGTTCAATTCAGATACTGTGGATTATCTGCCTTGATATTCTGAGTTATAGGGCTGTGTGGAAGGGCCCTAAAACACCTAATTCCCATGCCACTTCTAGAATTGGGGACAAATACATGTAATTATTTATCATATGCAAAATCTATTTTCCTGCACTGTATTTCAACTTTTAAATCCAGGTGTGCACCCTTTGACCCTCCACCTTTTTTGGATTTAAATTCCCAGAATCCCTCAACAAGTATGTCCAGGAGTAAGGGAGTGCGATTCCAAAACAACCAGAGAGCCGAAGATTTTCCACTTCACTGCTCAATCTTAAACACATTTTAAAATAGAAATAGTTACACATACAAGCCACCAAAATTCAGTTCTCTTCTGCGTAGTCTGCATCTGCATATCAATTTAATGCAGTTTAATGCTAGTTTAACTACCATGACTCAATACTGTGGAATCATAAAAGTTGTAGTTCGCTGAGGCACCAGCACTCTTGGGAAGAGAAGGCTAAAGACATTGAAAAACTACAACTCCCCAAGATTGCATAGCACTGAACAATAGCAGTTAAGTGGTCCCAAACTGCATTAATTCTACAGTGTAGATGCACCCTAAATCTCACAACTAAAGGTGCATCCACACTGTCAAACGAATGTAGCTTGACACCACTCTTAACTTCCATGGCTTGGTGCTGTGGAATCATGGGAGCTGTAGTTTACAAAGTCTGTAGCACCCTAAAGCTCACAACTAAAAGTGCATCCATGCTGACAAACTAATGCGGTGTGACACCACTCTTAACTTCCATGGTTCAATGCTGTGGAATCATGGGAGCTGTAGTTTTACAAGATCTGTAGTACCCTAAAGCTCACAACTAAAAGTGCATCCACACTGTCAAACTAATGCAGTGTGACACCAATCTTAACTTTCATGGCTCAATGCTGTGGAATCATGAGAGCTGTAGTTTTACAAGGTCTGTAGTACCCTAAAGCTCACAACTAAAAGTGCATCCACACTGTCAAACTAATGCAGTGTGACACCACTCTTAACTTTCATGGCTCAATGCTGTGGAATCATGGGAGCTGTAGTTTTACAAAGTCTGTAGCCTTCTCTGCCAAGCAGCACTGGTGCCTAACCAAACTACAACTCCCAGGATTCAACAGCACTAAGCCATGGAAGTTAAGTATGGTATCAATCTGCATTCATGCTACAGTGCACATGTATCCATGGAATTGTGGAAGTTGAAGCTTTACAAGGTCTTCAGCCTTCTCTGCTAGAGAGCAGTGGTGCCACACCAAACTACAAATCCCATTATTCCATAGCACTGTGCCATTTCAGTTAAAGTAGGGTCGAACTGCATTATATTGACAGTACTAACGACCACATCTCAGAAGAAAGGCGTGTCTCTAGATGGAAGCCCGAGGGCACAAACACAGAACAAACAGTGTCTATGTCTGTGTAAACAGTGAGGAGGTCGATAGAGAGCGCACTCCAGATCCCTTTCCTCCGACTCGGAGCTTTCTCTTATCCCTGGCAGCGCGGTGGAGGAAAATGGAGGCGCCTTGGTGGCCAACTCTCCGTTTCGCCGCCTTCGCCTCACAGGCCACGGCCTGGGGAACCTTTCCCCTCCCTCCTTCCTTCCCTCCCTCTCAAAACAACACAGGAAGAGGCTCCAAGTGGACTTCCACCGAGGAAGACCCTGGAATCATCGAGTTGGAAGAGATACAAGGGCCATCCAGTCCAACCCTCTTCTGCCATGCAGCAAGGCACAACCAAAGCACCCCCGACAGATGGCCACACACCCTCTGCTTAAAAACCTCCCGAGAAGGAGGCTCCAATACACTCCGAGGAGGTGAAGTTCTTCCTAATGTTTAGGCGGAGTCTTTCCCCCTTGCCGTTTGAATCCATTGCTCCAGAGTGCCCGAGTCTCCAAAGCTGCAGAAAACAAGCTTGGCTCCTCCCCAGTGTGCTGAGTGGAGCTCTTCCCTCACAAATCTTCCCTCTCAAATATTCCCTCGCAAGTGTCTCCTCAAAAATATTTAATCACAAGGCCCCCCTCACAATTATCCAACTCACAAGTATTTCCTCACAAGAATCCAACTCACAAATATATCTTCACAAGTCTCCCCTCACAAATATTTCTTCACAATGCTCACCTCACAAATATTTCCTCACAAGTCTCCCCTCACAAATATTTCTTCACAATGCTCCCCTCACAAATATTTCTTCACAATGCTCCTCACAAATATTTCCTCACAAGTCTCCCCTCACAAATATTTCCTCACAATGCTCCCCTCACAAATATTTCTTCACAATGCTCACCTCACAAATATTTCCTCACAAGTCTTCCTTCACAAATATATCCTCACAAGTCTTCCCTCACAAATATTTCTTCACAAGTCTCCCTTCACAAATATTTCTTCACAATGCTCACCTCACAAATATTTCCTCACAAGTCTCCCCTCACAAATATATCCTCACAAGTCTTCCCTCACAAATATTTCTTCACAAGTCTCTCCTCACCCCTCACAAATATTTCTTCACTAGTCTTCCCTCACAAATATTTCTTCACAAGTCTCCCCTCACAAATATTTCTTCACAAGTTTTCCCTCACAAATACTTCCTCACAAGTCTCCAACTCACAAACATTTCTTCACAATGCTCACCTCACAAATATTTCCTCACAAGGGTTGCTGTGAGTTTTCTCCTTCCAGAAGCATTCTCTCCTGACGTTTCGCCCACAACTATGGCAGGCATCCTCAGTGGTTGTGAGCTCTGTTAGAAACCAGGCAAGGGAGGTTTCTATATCTGTGGAATGATGTCCGGGGCGGGAGAAAGAACTCTTGTCTGCTTGAGGCAAGTGTGAATGTTGCCACTGGCCACCTGAACTTGCATAGAATGGCCTTGCAGCTTCAAAGCCTAGCTGCCATTTGCATCATTCATACTTGTCTCGAGCAGATAAGAAACAATCAGTGCCAGTTAACACCTCCCAACAAAGGTTTCTTTCCCCAGGCAGGAAGCAGCCAGGCTTTGAAGCTGCAAGGCCATTCAAGGTGGCCAATTGCAACATTAACAGACAAGAGTTCTTTCTCCCACCCTGGACATTATTCCACTGATATATAAACCTCACCGGCCTAGTTTCCAACAGACCTCACAACCTTTGAGGATGTGGGCGAAACGTCAGAAGAGAATGCCATGAAAGCCTTCGACAACACATTTCCTCACAAGTCTCCCCTCTCGGATCTTCCCTCACAAGTCTCCCTTCTGGTGGCGCCCAGGAAAGCGAGCTCTCCCCGCCAGGTCTGGACGCGGGAAGGAGAGTCCTCTGAGGGGAGGCGAAAAGGGCTCTTCCCCCAACTTAAGCCGAGCGAGGAAAGGGTGGGAACGCACCCCCGAGCCTCCCCCTCCCACTCCCCTCGGCCCTGCCCTCCTGCCTACCTTCTCAGTCCTCCCCTCTGGCGAGAGAGAGAGAGAGAGCTCCAGAGCGCGGGCAAGTCCCGCTCCGACTCCCGCCTCGCAGTGAGTTCTGCGCTGGAGCGGCTCCCGCTCTGCCTTGGCTGCCAGCGCTTCGCAGCAGCAGCAGAGGCGGCGGAAGGGAGGGGGGCACCCAGCTGTGAGGCGAAGGCGGGAGAGAGGGACACACCACGTGCCCTCGCAGAGCCAATGGCAGGCCCCGCCGAGCCATTCCCTCCGCGCTTCCCCCCGCCCTCGCTTCTTGCACCACGTGACATGGCCAAGCGCTGAAGTTCAGGTATGAGGACTCACCTGAGGCAGTGGAGGTGTGTCAAGGCAGCAGGAATCTTCCCTTTCTGGCACTATTCTAAGGCCTGCGATGAAGAGAAAGAACTTTTGTTCAAGTATTGGAACTGTTTTCGTAGAATCATAGAATCAAAAAGTTGGAAGAGACCTCATGGGCCATCCAGTCCAACCCCCTGCCAAGAAGCAGGAATATTGCATTCAAATCACCCCTGGCAGATGGCCATCCAGCCTCTGCTTAAAAGCTTCCAAAGAAGGAGCTTCCACCACACTCCGGGGCAGAGAGTTCCACTGCTGAACGGCTCTCACAGTCAGGAAGTTCTTCCTCGTGTTCAGATGGAATCTCCTCTCTTGTAGTTTGAAGCCATTGTTCCACGTCCTAGTCTCCAGGGAAGAAGAAAACAACCTTGCTCCCTCCTCCCTGTGGCTTCCTCTCACATATTTATACAGGGCTATCATGTCTCCTCTCAGCCTTCTCTTCTTCAGGCTATTTCGGTATATTTTGGTTTTGTTTCCACGTTATAAGTGTTGTTGTTTTTTAATAGTTTTTATTAAGAGTTTTTTGAATAAGGCGTACATCGAGAGAATGCCAATCATCGACATAACTTGTAAATCAAATAAAAAAGCTCAGAGGCGTAGGTTTGGTAGGGTTTGGGGTAAGAAGGAAAAGAAGGAAAAGAAAAGGAAAAAGGAAAGAAAAAGAGATGCAGTGGGGGAAAGAATGTGCGGGGGTTGGAGGATATGAAGGGGAGAGTTAGTACTCTTATTTACTGATTTTACCCCAAGAGGTATTATTCGTGTTAGTATTGTCTTCTTCTCTTGTCTCTCACATGTCTATGTCAAGTTGATATTGAAGTACACAGAAATGCTGGACCACTCTCACAACCACCATGTCAGACTACACAGAGAAGCCGTTGAAATCCACAAGCATGTGGACAATTTCAACAGAAAGGAAGAAACCATGAAAATGAACAAAATCTGGCTACCAGTATTAAAAAACTCAAAAAATTACAACAGCAAAACAACAGAGAGTAAACAATCAGGCACATCAAATCACCTCTCAACGAAAGATTCCCCCAGGCACTTCCAAGCCATTAAATGCTAATCAAGGTGGTCAGTTGAAACATTCACACCTAGCTCCAGCAGAGAAAAGTCCTTTGTCCCACCCTGGTCATTCCACAGATATATAAACCCATTTTCCTACTTCCAACAGACCTCACTACTTCTGGGGATGCTTGCCATAGATGCAGGCAAAACGTCAGGAGAAAATGCCTCTAGAACATGGCCATATAGCCTGAAAAAACCTACAACAACCCTTTGTCCTTATTCTTTTCGATTTCAAAGTCTAGAATACCCAATCGATAGTATTCCGCTTTCATCTCATTATAAGTGCTTTTACTGTGTTTTTGAAATGCTGAATTCCAAATAATAATAATAATAATAATAATAATAAAGAGAAACAACTGGAAAAGCTGACACGATATGAGGATTTAAAGATCAAACTGCAAAGACTCTGGCACAAGCCAGTCAAGGTGGTCCCAGTGGTGATTGGCACACTGGGTGCAGTGCCTAAAGACCTTGGCCTGCACTTAAACACAATCGGCACTGTCAAAAAATTACCATCTGCCAGCTGCAGAAGGTCACCTTACTGGTATCTGCATGCATTATTCGCCAATACATCACACAGTCCTAGACAATTGGAATGTGTCCAATGTGTGATCCAATACAACAGCCAGCAGAGTGTCTGCTGTGGACTCATCTTGTGGTGTTTCAAGTAATAATAATTAATAATGTGTTAATAGTAATATTAGTAAGCAATAATAATTAATAGTGTGTTAATAGTAATATTAATAAGTAAAAATTAATAGTGTGTTAATAATATTAATAATAATTAATAGTAATGTGTAATTAATATTAATAAGCAATAATTGGACCGGAAGACATTGTATAGATAGATTTTTATGGTTTTTAATTGCTTCAGTGGTTTTTATATGTATTTATGATGTGACTTAATTGCTTTTAACTGAGATATGTATGTATATATATACAGCATCTAATTGTTGCTGGTTTGTACGCCGCCCTGAGTCACCTTCAGGCTGAAATGGACGGGATAAAAATGATGGAAATAAATAAATAATAGAGTGTTAATAATACTAATAATAATTAATAATTAATAAACGTGTTTTGGAATACTGAAATCCAAATAAATAATGATAATAATAATGTGTTAATAATAATATTAATAAGTAATAAGAGTAATTAATAGTATGTTAATAGTAATAATAATTAATAATTAGTAATCATGTGTTTTGGAATGCTGAATTCCAAATAAATAATAAATAATAATAATGTGTTGTTAATAATATTTAAAAGTAATAATAATTGTGTGTAAATAATTATTATTATTAATAATAATAATGTTTTGAAATGCTGCATTTAAAATAATAATTAATAATAATATTAATTTCTTAATAATTATTATTAATAATGTGTTAATTTGGTTTTGGTTTTATTCTGTATTGTATTGTGTGTTTATTTTATGCAATGTTTCAGGCACATTCTGCCATATCTAAACCGCTCTGGGACCCTTCGGGGAGATGGAGGCGGGGTACAAAATAAAGTTATTAATAATATTAATAATTAATAATCATGTGTTTTGGAATGCCGAATTCAAAATAATACCATTATTAAAACAAAGTATGGATTGTCAATGTTGCAATCCCTGGTGACAGCAGAAGCAACTGGGAAAGCTTACACAATACAAGGATTTAAAGATTGAACAGCAAAGACTCTGGCACAAGCCAGTAAAGGTGGTCCCAATGGTGATTTACATATTGGGTGCAG